ATCTATAAAATGTAAACCCAATTGTCTCTCTTACCTAATATATATGTTATGAGACCTTGAGGGATTATTCCCTAGGAGTACATGTGATCCAGAAACATGTCAGCCCTCATGGGGACTGAGGCCTCAATTTTGGAAATCTTTTCAATCTCTGACTTAAGGTCATCAAGAATATGCAGTGTCCCTGTCCTATTTCCCTTCCAAAAGAAAAATGTGTATTCTCAATGGATACATATTATGCAGAATCTCACTAAGCTTTACTTTGACCATCAGTCAAAGACTACCAGGTTTATAGAAATATATGGCCAAAACCCAGAAAAACAAGCAGCAATAGAAATAATCCCATAGGACACTCAGGTAATGGAGCTGTAATTTATAGACTATTAAATAACTACAAATAATTTGAATACATTACAAGAAAAGAATAAGAAGATCGAAAAGAGAAAGAAACAATATGAAAATTTTAAAACTGAAAAACACAATAACTGAATTAAAGAATTAAATAGATGGGTTTAACAGCAAATTAGACATAGCTAAAGACAAGACTTAGGAACTTGAAGAAAGGCCTCACAAAAATATACAAACTGAATTCTGATACAAAAAGGATAGGAAATACAGAAAGGACCATGAGTGCTATACAAAAGATGTTGAGCATGACTAAGATACACAGGAGCAAGATAATGGAGGAAAATAAATACCCAGAGAGAGATTGTCTGAGAAATTTTCATGTGTGACAAAAATTAAGACACAAATTCAAGATGCTCTAGGAACCCCAAGAGGGATTAAAAACAAAGAAAATCAGACTGAGATATGCTACAGTAACTGTTGAAAGCCCAGTAGAAAGGGGAGAAATATTAAAAATAGTCAAAAGAAAGGATCAAGTATGTAGCTCAGTGGCAGAGCACTTGTTTAGCATGTGCAAAGCCCTGGATTTGATCTCCAGTTCTAGAAATATAAAAAAAGAAAAAGATAGAAAGAAAGGAAAATATTACCTTCAACAGTATACTGACAGCTGATTACCTAACAAATATTAGAAACCAGAAGCCAATGGAATCTTCAACTTACTGAAAGTTAATAACTTCCAACCTAGGATTCAATAACCAGTGAACATTTTAAACATTAAAAATAGAACTACCATATGATCCAGCAATCTCACTACCCAGCATATATCCAAAGGAAATGAAATCAGTATGTTGACGAAACATCTGCATGCCCACGTTTCCTTGCAACAATATCCACAATAACCAGAAATGGAAATAATCCATTTATCTATCTATTCATCCATCAACTGATGAATAGATAAAGAAATGTGGTAAATACACACAATGTATGTATACACAGACATAAAGAAGAGTGGAATCCTGTCATTAGTGACAACATGGGTGGAACTGGAGATCATTATGTTAAATGAAATAATCCAGGCAAAGAAAGACAGGAAGCACAAGATCTCACTCATACATGGAATCCAAAAAAGTTGATCTCTGCTGAGAGCCATTGCCAAGTAGGAATGACGCATGGCCTACCCAATGTTGCTTAGAGGGAGGACTCTCCATTGTGGAAATGGGCTTGCCTTGGACCCAGGTCATTTGCAGTGACATTGCATGAATGTTTGAGAAAGGTGACCCTGCTCAAGGACCAGGGTGGATCCGGGTTTAGGGAGGATCCTGCTGGATTAGGGTGGGTCCAGGTTTAGGGTGTATCCTGCTGGGAATAGGGAGTATCCTGCTGCCTCAAGCGCCCCCTCCCCCTTGGGTTTAGGGCAGTTCCAGGTTTAAGGTGGACCCTGCTGGGAATAGGGCGTATCCTGCTGCCTCAGGCGCCCGCCGGCTCCTTGAGTTCCCCTTGAGTTCTCGGGGATTCAGAGAGTATTTTGGGATTCAGAGCAGAGTGCCGGTGAATTTTCCCCAGAACATGCATGTAGAGTGCCGTGAGAGTTTTGGGAATAAAGAATTGCTGTTTGAATCTACAAGGCTGTGAGTGGCTCGTGATTTTGTGCCCAGCCAGACTGCAGCAGATCTCATAGAAGTTGAGACTAGAACGGTAATTACCAGAGGTCAGGAAGAGTAGGGGAGAGGTGTCATGAGCTGCCCGTGGGCTGTGCATGGATTATGTTGCGCATAGTTGCCTCTTGAGGGGAGAGGCCTGGCTCTGCAAACTCCCTGTCAGGGAGTGTGATGGCGTGATGCAGGTGCGCCTCCCCCTCTAGCTCTGCCTAAGATCTTACACAGCGCCTGAGATGGGTGTGACTGGCCAAGATGTCAATTTGCTGACCATCAGGAAGACATCATGAAGCAAGACTCCACCCTTGAAACCTTACCCCCCTTTGATGCCCCGCCACACACCCACCGCTATAAATAAAGGGATTCTGGGTGCATGCACCCCCTTTTCCAGCCCTCTTTCCAGCAAGGAAGCTGACCCTTAAGGCTGCAGAGCTGTCCTACTCTCGGTTTAAAAACTACTCTCTGTATTGTGTGTTTTTTTGCCCCTTTCTTAGCTTAATGTTGCAGCCAGCTCTTTTAAACCCAGTTCACCTGGTTTGTGCGGGTCATTGTCGAGAGAGGGAAGAATGGCAAAAAGTTATCAATGAATACTAAGTTACAGTTAAAGTAAGAAGTTCTTTTTAAAAAATTTTTTTATTCATAATGGACTCAATATCGTTATTTATTTTTATGTAGTGCTGAGGATCCAACCCAGTGCCTCACATGTGCAAGGCAAGCACTCTGCCACTGAGCCACAACCGCAAGAAGTTCTGATGTGCTATTGGACAGGAGGATGGTTATAGGTGACAGCAATGCATTGACATTTCAAAAAGAAGAAAGGATTCTGGAAATTTTTACCATAAAGAAATGATAAATGTTTGAGAAGATGGATATGTTTAATCTGATTTAAACATTATACAATACAAACATGTATCAAAATATGCCTTCAATTTTTATGTTTTTATGATTTCAAATAAATTTAACTTAAAGTTAAAAAAGTAATAAACAGAATAATCATTGAAAACTCAAGAGTGAAATAAAGTCATGCCAAGAATAACACATATTCATCAGTAACAGAATGACACTAAACACTAACGAGTACCCTACCTTTAGGCAAAAGGAAAAATATATATATATATGAATTAAAGCAAAGAAATGTAGCAAAAAATATACAGTAATGAAAAGGGTAGCTATGTTGTAAATCTAAATATATAAGCAAATATAAACATAACTAAAAGGATAAATAGGAATTTCACAATGGTTATTGAGAGAGTTTAGTATATCTCTCTCAATATCAATTCCAGGTAGATTATCTGTCAATTGGTATAAAACAACAACAAAAAAATAACAATTATAAGTAATTTTATATGTAAATTAATAACAATTACAATAACAGTGAGATACAATAGTAACAATTACAGAAGATCACAAAGGAGAATATTTCCATGATTTGGGGGTTAGGGAAAATTTCCTTGCAAAGAATACAGGAAAAAGAAATCCTATTAATCATACAAGAAAAGATGAGCATATTAACCTACCATAAATTAGAGATTTCTGTTCACTGAATGGAACCATTAAGCAAGTGGAAAGCCAAGTGAGAAGGTGGGAGAAGATATCTTCAACACATGTAGCCAATACAACTTGTGTACTGAATATATAAAGAACTCCTTCAAATCAGAAGGCTATGTTGAAACCTACATGTCAATGATTTCTCCTAGATCTGAGAGAGGATGTTCACTAATGACAGGAAGGAAGTATTAAAAGTGATTTGCTTATGTGGGACATTTGTTGAATTGAATATAATCACTTAAGTCAATCAAAGTAACGTATCCCAAGTAAGTCATAAAAATAATTTGGGCTGGGGATATAGCTTAGTGGGTAGAGTGCTTGCTTTGCATGCACAAGGCCCTGGGTTTGATCCCTAGTGCCACACACAAAAATAAATAAATAAAAGAACTTAAATGCTCCATTTCTTTAGAATGGCTTTTCTCAATTCATTGTTGAAACATAGTATAAATTGCTCTATTCAGGGTTACCTTTATGAAACAACAGAAAAAAAAATAGTTAAGTAATTCAGTCACTGAATATAAAAGTCTTCAACAGAGCAGTAGTTCTTATTGAGAGAAGCAGAAAAGGGAGAAATGGAGTCACTCTGGTACCACACCACCCACATTTCCTCCCAAGATAATTTTTTTTTTGTAACAGGGATTGAACTCAGGGGTGCTTAACTACTGACCACATCCCCAGCACTGTTTTGTTTTTGTTTTTGTTTTTTTTTTGAGACAGGTTCTCACTAAGTTGCTCAGGGCCTCGCTAAGTTCCTGAAGCTGGCTTTGAACTTGTAGGCCTCCCGCCTCAGCCTCCCAAGCTGCTGAGATTACAGGAGTGTGCCATGGTACCCAGCCACAGTTATTCTTTTAAATATTGTTCTCTGCTGAGCATGGTGGTCCACACCTGTGATTCCGGCTACTCGGGAGGCTGAGGCATCACAAGTTTGAGGCCACCCTGGGAGACCTAGTGAGACCCTGTCTTAGAATAAAAAAATGAAAAGGTCTTGGGGTATAGCTCAGTAGTAGAACACCCCAGCATTCAACCCCCAGTACCATAAAGAAAAGAACTTTATTTTATATTTTTGGTACTGGGGATTGAACTCAGGGCATTGCCCATGCTAGGCAAGTGCCCTACCCCCTGAGTAAATCTCCCAGCTGCAAAAGGAACTTTAAATACTCTTTTCTGTCTTTGAATCTACCTCTATCTCAACTCTTCTGTTTCTCTGTCTCTCTGTCTCTCTCTGTCTCTGTCTCTCTCTGTCTCTCTCTCTCTCACACACACACACACACACACACACACACACACCCCAGAGTCCTGCCAAGGCACTGCTGAACGTAACTGGGCTATACTTGAACCCTATCTAACTCTCTATCCCTAAATTTATAACACACTATTTTTCTTTCTCGCTTTCCCCACTCCAATCTATCAAATTTTCTCTTTCTACAAAAAAAAAAAAAGGGCAAAAAAACTCACGCGACTTTGGCGCAGACAGTGCACTTCCAGCTGCCATTGAGGCCCACAACCCGACATTCACTGCACACCCTCAGTGAGCAGGCCTGGCACGGGTCTCCCCGGTCAAAGATGAGGCCCAGGTTTCTCTGACAGTGAACACAAACTCTGCTGGTCTCTTGTTGAGTCTTCCCACTTCTACGTTTTGCCTCCAGGAGCTCATTTTTCAGCTTCCTGAAAGAGAAAAAAAAATCACTTAAAAAAGTACACACAGAGCCAGGCGTGGTGGCACATACCTATCATTCCAGTGACTCAGGAGGCTGAAGCAGGAGGATCACAAGTTCGAGGCTAGCCTTAGCAACGTAATGAGACACTGTCTCAAAATAAATAAAAAGGGCTGGGGATGTAGTTCTGAAGTAAAGCACCTCTGGGTTCAATCCGAAGTACAAGAACACACATACATATAGGAGCAGACCTATTTTTAAGAGATGTTTTCGTTTGGAAGAATATTCAAATCAAGGAGTCAAAACCAAATACTTGCAGAGAATACAATTTCTCCCTCCAGAATCAATGATCCATTGATATGTAGTTGAAAATTACATTCATGCTTTATTTTTTTATTTTTTAGTTATAGATGGATACAATATCTTTATTTGCTTTGTTTAATTTTTTTATCTTTATTTTGCTGGTTTATTTTTATGTGGTGCTGAGGATCAAACCCAGGGCCTCACACATGTGGGCAAGTGCTCTGCCACTGAGCCAAAACACCAGCCCCTCATGCTTTATTTTTGACATCTTCCACTAGCACTATTTTTCTATGAAGATTTATTCACATTCTACTCCGACTTATCCTGGACATCTTTGATGCCACAACACTGGAGCATTGCTGGGGTGCAAAGACACACATGGTTGCAGGGGCTTTGTCTGCCTGGATGTACTACATGAGACAACAGTGCAAAACCAATCAATAGCACTGGTACTTTCCTTCCGTGATCCCAAGAATTTTGTGCCTACAAAATACTGTCTAGCATTTCAGATATTGACACTTCTGCTTAGCATTTGATAGTATCCAACAATTTCCATTAACCTATGGGCGTTGTTGTCAGTCATGTCTATGAATCCAGATTCCTCCTGTACTAGCCGTCCAACCTTAGGCAATGATTTAGTCACTCAATTTCAATCTCTCATTTTTTAAAATGGGAGTAATTGTATTCTTTCATAGTTGTTTTTAAGATTAAATGAGTTTCCAGATGTGGTGGCACACACCTGTAATCCCAGCGGCTCAGGAGGTTGACACAGGGAGGGTGGATCGCAAGCTCAAGACCAGCCTCAGCAACTTGGCAAGGCCCTAAGCAACTTATGGAGACTCTGTCTCAAAATAAAAAAATAAAGCCGGGCATGGTGGCGCACACCTGTAATCTTAGTGGCTCAGGAAGCTGAGAAAAGAGGATCACAAGTTCAAAGCCAGCCTCAGCAATAACAAGGTACTCTGCAACTCAGTGAGACCCTGTCTCTTAATACAAAATAGGGCTGGGGATGGGGCTCAGTGGTTGAGTGCCCCTCAGTTCAATCCCCAGCACCAAATAAATAAATAAATAAATAGGCTGGGGATGTGGCTCAGTGGTTGAGTGACTCTGAGTTTAATCCCTGGTACCAAAAAAATATTAAATGAACTAATATAAATAAAGTTCCCAGCATGGTATCTGGCACATAGGTACATGGGCAGTCCTTTCTCCAGGGAATTTGGTAGGAATGCTACACTTCAGACCTACTGGATCAGAAAGTACATTTTTTCAAAATCAGTGGTTTCATAAAATATTCAGGTGATTAGAGTTTGAGAGGCACAGCTTTGAAACATTTATTTTCAAATTTGGCTATATGTTGAAATCATTTGGGAAGATTTTTTTCAGTGATTCCTAGGTCTCACTCCCACACATTCTGTGTGTCATTGGATTTGGATGTGGCCTATGCAATGGTATTTTAAACACTTTCCTTATTTACTCAAATATACTGCCAAATTTGGAAAACACTGCTATAGAAGACAGGCTCATTCTCACTTAAATGCTTCATAGACATGTGGTTCCTTCATGCTGTTGATCTCTATTCTTCTATGTTCCAGGAAAAAATAATCCAAAATCATTCACATCTTTCGTACCATCTCCCTTTTACATTTGTGAAACTAAACTTTGTCATGCCCACCTTCAGGGAGCAGGAAGAACAGAACACTGCAGTGTCCAAAATCTATAACAATCCATGCAACAGTGATAAAGAAACAAACTACTCAAAACAAGTAGAACAAAGCCAGCAATCCCAGGGAGCAGCCCAAGTGGGTTGATGGACCAAAGAGTAATAAACTAAGAAAATGGGGAATTGTGGGATATTCTTGAGGCAAATTCTTTCCTAGAAAAGAGTCTATGGTCAGGTTCCTGAAGTTTAACCACACAGCACCTCCTTAAACTGGAGGAGCTGAGACCACCTGGAGAAATTATGGCCACAAATTAGTTAAACATTTGTATTGCATCTTATGTATGTATGTATTGCATCTTTCTTTGTGCTCCACTTGACAGGACCTTATTTAGCAATTGGCTTTTACAGTTCACAGTTACAAGTGTTGAAAAGGACTTTGGGCCAAGTATAAGTCAGGTCACAAGGAAGCAAAGATGAAAGGCCTAAACATCTTGGTTGGGCAAATGCTAATATTATTGGTGCTTATGGGCCCATATATTCTGGCAACTATCTCTGAGACATGTGGAGAAAACTGAGAAGAATTGCAGAGGTTGATGAAAACTATTAAAGAGCTTACTGAGTTTTCCAGCTTGTCTTTGAAATTGAACTAATTCAATCAGATCTAGGAGAATCCATGTTATGTGGGCACAGCCATTTTCAGACACACAGGAAGCAGAGGAAGGGCAATGGTAGGGTGTCTTGGTCTGCTTTGTGTCGTATAATATAATTCCACACTCTGGGTAATTGGTAAAAAGCAGACATTTGTTTCTTACTATTCTGAAATCCAAGATCAAGGGGCTGGCAATCTGGCAAGGCCTTTGTTGCTGTGTCCAACGTGGCAAAAGGTGGAAGGGCAGGAAAGCCAAGAGCAGAAGAGGGCACCAACATCACTATGATAACAAACTCACTCCTGTTTAATGTCTTCTCCGCAGTACTAAGGATAAAGGAAAGCATAGGGAACTAGGAGAGGAATAAGATGGGCTATGTCTCTGCCTTCTGTTTAATGAGCATTTACAAAGCAAGGTGAACCTCCTTGGGTTCCTGCATGGCTGGCCTAGCCTCAGGAAGGTAACTGAGGAAGGTGAGCTTTTGGCCTGCAGGCACAGTATCTACTCATCTTTCTCATAAGCTATCCACATAATCTAGAAATGCTTCTGGTTCCAAGTAACACCCTTAAAAATGGGTCTGGCATAAAAACATGGCACTGGCATAAAAATAGACTTATAGACCAGTAAGACAGAAGACACAGAAACACATCCAAAGAGCTATGATCATCTCATTCTTGACAATAGTGCCAAGAAACATACATTGAAGAAAAGACAGTCTCTTTAACAAGTGGTGCTGGGAAAACTGGACACTCGTATGTACAAGAACGGATTTGGGGAGGGGGGTTGTGGCTCAGCTGTAGAGCGCCCGCCTAGCATATGGGAGGCCCTGGGTTCAATCCTCAGCACCACATAAAAAAAAATTTAAAAACTAAGATAAAGGTATTAAAAAATAAAAGAATGAATTTGGATCTCTATCTCTTCCCCTGCACAAAAATCAACTGGTGAAGGGGTTCCTGCACCCACTGTCTGACAGGGTCACAGCGTGGGGGATGCTTCGGCAGGACCACACCATCTGGAAATCGGAACCATGGGGAACGTTAAGTGTTTTGTTTATGATACTCAAGATATGGATAACAGGGCATACGTCAATCAATAATAAAAGTACATATTGCCTGAGATTGCAGGAAAATTCCCAGAATGAGACTGAGGATACAATTGAGACATGCCACAAGGTGTGTTTCAATATCTCTCAGAACACAAACAACACTGTTATTCCTCAAGAAATTCATGGAAAAAAGATTGCAAACCGAGGTTCCTGAGGAAAGCTTAACAATTTACATTAAGCCCCCTGTTCTAAAGCCACAACCTGTGCAACATACATTCCCCCCACCAACAGACCCTCCTTTGCCTTACACAGGAATTCATGATGAGAATGGAAAACAAATGGTTAATATTAATGACAAATGGGCTGAGGTGCAGAGCCTGCCCTTTAGTTAAAGATTACAAAGACATAAGAATTGGTGTGCTTTGACCAAGGATCGAGGAAACTCTTTAAGAAAGCAGTTAAATAGGTCATATGAAAAAAGGAAATTACCTTGGAAATAAAAATAAAATAATGTAAAATTAATATCGATATATTTTAGAGGCACTTCAGAGTAGTAGGCTTTTAAGTAATAGACTTTAACTATTTTAAATGTGTTTTGCTGGTATTTTAGTTTAGAAGTAAGAAAGCTTATGAATAATCATAAGTATGCTTTAAAGTTAAAGGTTAATGAAATAACTATAGGTATGCTTTAAAGTTAAAAGTGAATAATAGGTCAGGAGACATGTAGTCTAGTTGCATAGTCTAACACCTACTGATTGAGGTAAAAACTTAAAAGCTTAATCAAGATTGGCTAAGGGTGCTGGAATATATTTTGAACAATGTACTCAATATCTAAGGTAATCAATGTATATCAGAAAAGATTGTAACTCTTGAAAATTATGTAAATTAAAGATGTTTCAGGCTTTGAAACTATTCATTAACTACCTGAAAAAACACCTGTCAAAAAGGTATTTAAAAAAAAAGGCCCCTCTAAGGACAGCAGATTTTTTTCTGGAGGCTGCTCATAACTTGCAACCTGTTGTCCCATCTCTTCTTCTTTCATCAATGCCACTCCTCCTTTAGGACCCCTGGATCTCCCGCCAGGGCTGGACCCAGGCAGTCAACTGAAAGTGGATCAAAGACTTAGGAATTAGACCAGAAATTCTGCAACTGCTAGAAGAAAACATGGCATAAACACCCCAACATGTAGGTGCATGCAGACACTTTCTCAATAGGACTACTAAAGCTCAGGAAATAACATCAAAAATTAGGAAATGGGATGGCATCAAATTAAAAACCTTCTGCACAGCAAAGGAAACGAGAGTGCAAAGAAAGAGCTTACAGAATGGAAGAAAATCTTTGCTAGGCACTCTTCC